CTATGAGACACCATCGTTCTTCACTTCAAGAAAGGCCTCCCTCGGTTTCCGGAACCGTCGTTTGACGGATCTTTTTTGACCAAATCGGAGTTGAGTCACAATAACTCGATACTACTTCTAGGCAAGCGCATCCTCTTTCTGCAGCTTTTCCTCTCAACATTGACATTTAAACCCTTCTGACGTTCTGGTATGTTGTGCCGAGGTCAAGCTTATCTGCGGATTTGCCACTGGTGGATAGGGCGTGAATGCACCTGCCCTTAAAAGAACCTATTTGTGTACAGACTGGGATCTTCTTCTTCTTCTTCTTCTTCTTCTTCTTCATCTTCTTCTTCACACTCTGCGAAAGCGCTACAAACCCCTGGCCAGCTTGCCCTAAGCCCCGCGTCCTAGGAAGTTGCTGCCTGGCTCGGCACAACAACAGTCTTTTTCGCATGGACACCGACCAGAGTGTTGTGCCTTGGCGGCTCCCACCTGCGAGTGTTTATGCTAGCCGGGAAATGCCCAAGTGTGTCTGTCTGTATGCGACGAATTATGGATATCTGAACAGACGTCCGATTCTACTGCTCCCCTCATAACGGCTCCATTTTGGATTGCCTCCAGATTACCAGCTTTTTATCTGCCCTGTCTGCCCGCCTTTTTGGTATTACTCCCGGTCAAGGATCCGACGCCGATACAACAGGCCGGGATGCACTGTCTGCAGTCGGCCGAGGCGCCTGGCAGAGGCCAGGACAGATCTTCCTCCCACAGGTCGGCGGAATCTGCCACACTGAGCCTCAGGAACGCGTTGTCTGACTGTTGGGGCCAGGTCCGTCTAAAAGTGCCCCGTAGTTCCCGGTCTCTCACAACCTCCAGACCATCCAACTGTCGTTTTGGCCCGACTTACGCCCAGTTTTCCGTCTCGCCTTGGCATGCACTTCATCTGAGTTCTGAGTTCTTTGGTGGTTGTGGGTAGGAGTGAGGTCCGGTATGTGATTTTCCGTCCTTCGATAGGCCTGACTGTGAGGTTAGACAGACTAACAAGCCTACAATGTAGGTGTGTTCTGCTACCTTGTGCGTCAGTTAGGGCTTCAAAGAGAAGCTATATGAATTACTGCTCAGGGTTGGTCAAGTTAACTTATGGCGTCAGTAGATAAGATACGGAAAATCGGCCAACTATTAAATATATTTTATTAATCTTATTCCAAGATAAACGGAAGAAGCTCAATTTTAATTTTTATTCTACAAGTCACAGCGGTTCCATCTTCATTCAGTTTCTAAAAGGATGGATTAACTAGAATAAGAACTAAGCCATCCTTAATAAGTAGGTCTCATTTAATTATGGGAAAGTTCAACTATCTGTCCTTAGATCTCCTTAAGCGATCTAGGGGAGCTAACTTCTTATTCAATATTTTGCCACATTCGAGAGAATTATTTGCGTCAAAAAGGAATTAACTAAACTTCTATGGAGACCCAAGAGGGTGTGGCCTTTTGTTTGGTCTTAGTCTCTCTTAGCTGTATACTACTGATTTGACTACGTTTTTGTAACTTGTTTTGAGGCACATAGCCAGTCCTGCATCCTCTGCCGTCGAGTATTCATGATGACTTCCAGCATCGGACTGTGGACCTGGTAAATTCCTAAGCGTTTCGTCGGCATCGTCAGTGAAAGGCGTCATCGTTAGTACATGGGTACAACAAGTTGCAAAAATGAGGTCAGACCAACGCTAAACGTTTATTTGTTAAAATAGGTTTCCAAACTATCAGCATATGTCAAATAAGAGTCGTATCCACCCTAGCTTGTATAAGAAGATATAAGACTGATAGTTAGATTTTTCCCATAATCTTATGGGTATACGTGTAAGTGACGTTTCTAGATTATACGCTGCACCACCCGGGTTCGAGTCCCGAATGAGGTGCTTATGCAACAAGTCGAGGCCAAAAGTAGTCATCCCTTGCCGGGTCGAGACTACTCTTTAGAAAGCAAAGCTGTGTGAAATTCAACGGACAACTCTTGGACAAATTAATTGCATAATTATGACACTATCCATATTTCTTCTTGTTCTTAGCAATGATACACTGTTTTACGATGAATTCATTAAATAGTTAATCTGGCGTCATCGCATTTAAACACTCATATACTTTCCATGTTAGTTAATCAAAAATCTAATCGCCAAGCTTGAATATGATAGAAATAAGATACTGCTGATTTTAAAATAAAGGCGGCATTAATGGCCGCATATTTAACATAGCATTTTCCCAAACATACAGAATTTTGCAAGCAATTTTGCCACTTACCCGCCATTTTTATTGAATCGTCTTCAAGGCATAAATTGGCTCTCCTTGGAAATTGCATTTTTACTCAATGACTGATACCAAATGTCAATTTAAATTTTTCTTCTACAATTCACAGCGGTTCCAACGTTATTTAGTTTACAAAAGATGAATTAACTATTTCGGCTATTTTCCAAATTTTTTCTCCAAGATTTTCACCTCTATTTTAATTTTATCTTAGCCACTATATTATTAAGAGTTTATTGGAGATTCTATGCACCAAACTATGCTCGTAAGTTTTTACCCTTATGTCCACATTTGAATTCAGCCAAACACCACACTGGTTAAAACGCTAACAAAATATTTATTTTGGCTCGTTTATTGGCATTGTCCTTGATTTTTCCGCATTACCACACAGGCAAATCTACTAATACAAATTTGCTAAGTATTTGGTAGGCAATGAAATCGGATTTGAGATACTCTATTAGTTTACGAATCTCTTAGACGGTCTACATTTTTGCCATTTTCGTTTCGATTCAGTCTCAGTTTGTTATTTTACCAAGTTATTTGGTTATACTGTATTGCTTAGCTCAGATTCCATTAAAATATTTGTGTTGCCGTCCATGCTTTGGCGGCTGCGTAGGCCATAAAATTACCTGCTTTTTTCTCACAGCACTGACATTGCTAATTAATTTTGCTAACCTGTCCAGTTGCACACGATCATGCCCATGTTATTAGTTATGTTGTGTAGTAGGGGTAATAATACATAGTATATGCGAAGAAAAGTTGGATTTCGAGGAATCTCTTGTTTCATAATTGTTGAGCTTACTTCTATTTCGAGTGAAAGTGTTTGGTGAATAGATTCGAAGGTCGATGATGGTGTTCGTCATATGACGAACGAAAGCTTAGCGCCTTTTCAGCTAAATCGAAGGAGGTTAC